TTTAGATGCCGTATAAGAAACAGAGATATCTATAGTATTTATGCTTGTCATCGTGATACTTAAAGAGCCTGATTACGTATTATTATACCATTAGTAAGTCCAAGTATATACAATACACCTCCAACAATATTAATAGGAGTTAAAGCTGATACCGTTCCGATTGGCTCGCTTTTGACGGCAGTCTTGATAGAATCTCAATAGCTGAATGACCATACATAATATATGTTATTTAGGCCTTGCTATAGTCAAGACTTCTAGTTATGTTTATCTTAAGATTCGACGATTTTCTTCCGCGAAATACCACTTTTTTTTTAATATAAGTGACTCTGCATAAATATGTGAGAAATATGAGAAATGAATTCACTAATTTTACTTTTGAGGTAAACATAAGAATACACAAGAAGTATATGTTCAACTCGTTTGTATTATCATGGATAAGAATCAGTCACGAGAATAAAAGTCACTGCTCCCCCCCCAAAAAAAAGATATTACAAGGACGCATATTTAAAGATATATAATTCATCATTACATATACAAACCTTTAAACAAAACACATAGTTAAACATGTATAATTCATCATTACATACATAAACCTTTAAACAAACCACATAGTTAAACATCTATAATTCATCATTACATATACAAACCTTTAAACAAACCACATAGTTAAACATGTATAATTGATCATTTCATGTATAAACCTTTAAACAAACCACTTAGTTAAACATGTATAATTGATCATTACATACACAAACCTTTAAACAAACCACATAGTTAAACATGTATAATTCATCATTACATCCACAAACCTTTAAACAAACCACATATTTAAACATGTATAATTCATCATTACATATACAAACCTTTAAACAAACCACTTAGTTAAACATGTATAATTCATCATTACATACATAAACCTTTAAACAAACCACATAGTTAAACATGTATAATTCATCATTACATACACAAACCTTTAAAGAAGGTACAAAGCGACCAACTTAACTGTATTTTTCAACAAATTACAGAATATTTGTGTTAATGTTGCTTTTATACATTCTTTAAATTTGGTAATTACAAAGTTCAAATTCGAGATCCATGAAACCTGTAATCTAGACGCTCTTATGTTGTAAATATCAGTAACTTTTCAGAGAAACTTCCATTGCACGAGTTACGGTAACGAACGAAAGGCCTCCTGGGCAGTGACTTTTTATTATATACCGTGAGCCTACTGGTTTCCAACCGTAATTTTAGTAATTATTAGACATTTATTTGTTACGAGTTGGATATTACGAATAATTTGGTGAACTTTTTTATCAGAAATTGGAAGTTTATGACCTCTGAAAAAAATTGCAGCGTTCTACGTAATAGAGATCGATATTTAGAAATCATTCTAATCAATAAATAAGACACCGATAAAACATACTTTTTTCATGACATAAAATAAAGGTTTTCCTCTGAAACTAAACTTTAAATGACTTCCTCACTTTGTTCATCGAGTTGCACGTGCTAGAACCGTTTCTAACACTTCATAGTTGCTGTCTCGCGCGCAACTTGATCCCAGTATCAGCAAAACTAATCTAAATGTCAACTCGACATTTTT